CACCTTTTGGGACGCGAGAAAAGGTAGTCGAAACATGGTTGTCGAGGCACTGACAATCCATACACTCTTCTATGGGACACGCAATGCACATCTTTCGGGACAGCAATGCACATCTTTTGGGACAGCAATGCACATCTTTCGGGACAGCAATGCACATCTTTTGGGACAGCAATGCACATCTTTCGGGACAGCAATGCACATCTTTCGGGACAGCAATGCACATCTTTTGGAACACAAAAAAAGGTAGCCGAAAGTGGTTGCCGGGAAAATGGGATTCTGTACACTCTACTAATGCTTTTGATGGTATCCATCTATATATAAAGGATATTTTAACCTCCGTTTGCGGTACCCAACACAGCAGCAGTAAGGACACACCGCGGGAAATCCCGTAAATCTGCTGTACCCGCGTGCTTAATTCCGCGGGTTAAACCCGCAAATATACGGCATCGATCGCGAGTCCCCCTTACTGCTGCTCAATTAGTATTAATCATATTAGATTAATCAACAAATAATAACTATTTCAGAACGATTTTTTAAGGGAAAAAACTTCTATATTCCCGATACTGTGAACAAATGGGGGCAACTTTTCCTTCTCTGTGCACGGTCAGCGTCATACAGTCAATTCAAAAAATGTTGTCGTCGACCAACTCAAGCCTACGCGACTGGACCGTAAGGAACTATGGGTAGTAATCATTGAAGCCGAGTTGACTCCATAATTTTATCCGACTAGTTATGCCTGATTTACAGCACGAACCTTCGTAGGCGAGCCGGAAGTGTTGAAGGAGACRTTTTCTTAATGCCTTCATATTTTCGAAATTGTGAACTGAATCATAACTACTTTGTTTTTCTTTCCCTAAACCCAAAGACATGCATTTGATGGCTTTTTTCTCGCCATTATTATCTTATTACTAGCGGGGAAAAAAAAATTCCGAACGAATATTTAACCGCTTCAGTGATTTTTACCAATATTCCTTTCGGTCCAGTCGCGTAGGCTTGAGCCGATCGACGACAACGTTTTTTGAATTGACTGTATAACAATGGATAAAGTCGAACAAAAACCTAGAACAATAGGTTTCCCAACCATTCCGCTCCATTAACTATGTTTTAGTATATGGAGTGATGTTTTAGTGTTGAGCAACTGATGGCACATTCTCCATTAAGAATTCGTAAAATATAATACTTCCCATCGAAATATCAAGAACAAACTTTTACTGCATATTATTATATCCTTAAGCATTATTACAATGAAGTTTCAGCTAAATTAAAATCGTTTGGATCAAATTCGTAAATATTTCTTTTTCCCTATTTTGTTGGGCTACCTGTGGATTTGGCGGGAATGCGCGCGTGTGCTTGCCTCTCTAGCCCTGGTAATTTCGGTATCCCACTAATTAATCGTAAATCTAAACCGACAGAAAATCGAGGTATCGAAGATCCCGACCTGTTTGAGGGAGACATCAAACTAACTTCAGGACAAAGAACAGAACTGGAGACGAGAGGAGAAAGAGCATCCATCAACTACAGACTATGGCCTAACGCACAGATTGTCTACGATGTTRAAGCCTCTATTTGTGAGTAGTACAGGATAGTGAATTACAACGCTACCATACAAACAGGAAATCAAGGGCGATTTAGCAGTATCGCATTTGTCCCTCACCTCTTGGGTCTCGGCTTTGATTCCTGGACTTTGCATCACATGAGTAGAGTGTGTTAGGTCTCTCGCTCCGGCTCTTGATTCAAGAGCTTCACTCCGTGCTCTCGGTTTTTCTCCCTCTGCAAAACATAACACGCTGCAATTCAACTCAAATTGTGAGCCCTGACTTTGACCAGCCCAAAGGTTGTTTCAGGGTTCGATCTGTGAGTTAGCCGTGCCCTGACTTAGACCAGCCCAGAGGTTGTTTCAGGTTTTCTTAGTTTATTGTATGAAATGTTTTTGGTTTTTCTTTTTACCTTTTTGCAGCTAGCGAGCCTCGAGCTATGGCCAGGCTGAACGAAGCCATTGCTGAGTACCACCAGAAGACATGCATTCGCTTCAAGAAGAGAACAACAGAAAAAGCTTACRTCTCCGTGTTCAAAGGAAGCGGGTAAGATCTTCCTTGTATCAACCGCTATCATTCTTTGTTTAACGGTTACAAGTCTAAAACCACAATTAAAATTGTCGTTCTTGTGGCCATCAACTCCGGCTATATCCATATTTGGTAAGCTTACTTTATTTGGGAGGGAACATGAATTTCGTTTTGGTGATTTTCCCGCTATTTCAACCTTTAAACTGTCGAAAATATGAATCAAAACAGCAGATATTACAGCGAAGAAATATTTAAAATTGTCCACCATCTTAAGTCCTGCTTAGAAACCTGGCCTTTAACAAAGGAAGCCCAAAACGACCCCACACGCAAACGACAATATAAGTTTGAGAACTCAAACAAAAAAATGTATTTTCTTGGGAATAACTAGTTGCCTGAATCGGGAACGAAGCGTTCGACCAAAAAGAATATATAAGGTAACTGAACAGAAATTTAAAGACAAAATAGCGATAAAACTGAGCGGCGTTGTTGATAAAGCTTGAAAAAATAGGAAACATGTGACGTCACGGTGAAAAGTCTTAATATCACGAATATGGTTGTCTTTGCCTTTTGATTTAATGGAAATAATTGCTGACCATAAGGAACGCAGGCGGAGCTGAGGTTGAGAATATAAAACATTTATTTTGTACGCAGATGCTGGTCATATGTCGGGCGCACTGGAAGAATGCAGCAGTTATCTCTGGCTAGTGGATGTTGGCACAAAGGAATTGTAATTCACGAATTTGGTAAGTGGTTTTAAGCATTTGGAACTATGAACACCCAACATAGTTTTTGATTTTTTTTTTTTCTTTTTTTTTTTTGACATTTTTTTTCACAAGTTTTAATTGTGCTCTCTACCGCTAGCCAATTAGACATCAGCGCTTCACTTTGATGTTTAGATCGAGACGGACTCGAGTCCGTACATCGATGTAACGATATCGAAACATTAAAGTGAAGCGCCAAAACATAATTGATTAGCGGTAAAGAGATCGATTAAAACTTGTCAAAAACTTGTACGACACTTTTTTGGGTGTTCAAGGTTCGGCGCGCAGCACTGTAATACTGTATGTAACACAGCTTTATACACATTTAGGGTMGATATCAGTGTCATAAAGCTGTGAATAAAAACCATATCAGTAAAGTGGCACGATACCACTTCATGTTAAACAAGAAACTGTTAATTTTGTTATTTTATCGAGTACCCTAAACGTGTGATAAACAAATCATTATTCATGTTAAGAGCCTGATATCTTTTGTATTCACTCGTTTTCCATATAGCCCCGTTTACACTGGCGATTTTTGCGGCGATTTTTGCTGCAATTTTCGTGTCAATTTTCGGAAATATGAAATCTTTTGTCTCATCCTTCAAAAGAGACATTGGTCTAGGAAAATCTTGTTATCCTGAAAAAAACTTTACAAGTAAATTCTTCACCATTATTTATTATGGACAAAATCGCAAAAAATTTGCAGTAAAAATCGCTAGTGTAAACGGGGCTTATGATATCACTCGCTGACTCGCTCGTTCGCGATATGATATGGAAACTCGTGAATAAAAACGATGTCAAGCTCTTAACATGTGATAGTCTCTATTGCTAGCTTTCGTGAAAACACAGCAGTATATATTTCCCGAAAGAGCAAAAGGACTATTGTTGTATTTGGTTCAGTTTCTATACATTTCACTGTAAAGGCGTCAAATGCCTCGACTTGAAACTATTGTTTGGAAGCAACAGATTGTAATTCTAATTCTGCTATTGCTCATTGTATAAACGAGTGGTAGCCTTGAAAAAGTTAATAGACTGTTTTTGAATTAGTAAGACATCGTTGTCTTCCTTGATTACAGACTCATTTACTCAGGGTTAGCCTCGTATCAGTGTCTAAATATTCACAAATAACAACGGTAAAGTAAAGAAGGCACAACTTCAACAATACAAACACTTTGAAATTCCACGGACCTTAACTAGAACACATGTATATTCAAAGTAATTCAATACAAAATCTAGGCTAGCCCTGTAGAATTCATAGAATTCAAAACTAGAATATTAGCTGTGCAAACGCGTCTTGGATCGTTAGGCGGACGCTTTCTTGTTGTATCGTATGAAGCGAAAGCGTCCCGCGTAATAATCCCAGACGACTTTGCGTGACAAAACGTTTCCAAGTCCGTTTCTAAAATGGTCAATGCACTCACGTGTGAATAGTTTTCTCTAGTGTCGATTTAAGTCAGTGACTGGATTTTATTCAAACATTTAAAAAAAATCTTTTTCCAGGTCATGCTCTTGGTTTCTTCCATGAACAGTCTCGTCCCGATCGAGACAACTACGTGGAAATCAAATTCGAAAACATTCGAACAGGTCGGTGGCGTAATAATGTAACTGTAATATTTTGAAAGCAATCTCTGTAGTTTTTCAAAACTGTCTTTCTTTTTGAATGACTAAAGGCAGAGAAGGAAACTTCAAGAAGCACTCTTCAGGTATTAACTCTCAGGGCACAACATACGATTATGGTAGCGTGATGCATTATGGGTCAAGAGCTTTCTCCAAGAATGGAAAGCCGACAATAGTCTCCAAGAAAGCAGGGGTGTGTACGAGATCATTATTATTGATTATTAGAGATATATAAATTGTATCCAAAATATAAGCAAATTCTGTTTCTTAATGGATCTCTTTGAAATGTGCGTAATGTTTTCGCATTTCAGACCRCATGTCATTGTCTTCATGTGTCTTTCCATGTTCGATCATTAAACATAGAAATCATACCACAGAGAACGACACGTGTTCTGAAATGCGAAAACAGTGCGTCCAAAGTAGAGAGGTGTGTGTATCAACAGTTGATGCCTGACTGCAAGTGATTAAAGTATGTCATCTAATAATGCAGGTGACACTTGGACAGAGAAGAGGATTAAGCACTATCGATACAATCCAACTGAACAGATTGTACAAATGTGGAATTGGTAAGAAAACTATTCTATGAGGTCAACTTTGCTTGCTTCCTTCCTACTTGCCTCCTTACTCTCTGGCTTCTTTCTTTCCTTTCTTCCTCAATTCTTCGCTTGCTTGCTTGCTTACTTGCTTACTTGCTTGCTTGCTTACTTGCTTACTTG